TGAAATTACCAGGTTAATCCATTTCATTGCCATTTTTATTTTTTTCTTGGAACATGGAACGTGTATTTCCATTTCATGTATAAATTAAGAGTAAGAATGTCATAAGGGTTACACAAGTTACAGTATCCTACACTATAAAGTTTACATGTAAGTGCCAGTAAGGTGATAACTAGTGCAGAAAAAGTAACATAACCCATGTATGCAGATGTAACACAAACAGATTTAAAATTGATTCTTTGGCTACATTGTAAGAAGAGCCTATTTCTTATGTCATTAACCTTGAATAATGGTATACATGACAAGAAGTACTGTTGTGCATCAAGAATTGATCACAATGGAATGTACCTGTAAACACTGTAACTCATAATTTAAGGTACGCATACAATGTATCCCAGTTCGTGTATTTGTTTATACTGTGAATTTATCTATATGTTAAGAAAATAAATTTTTCCCAATTGTACTGCTTTATCTTTACAAAAGCAAGATGATCTGAAATGGAGAAGTGCTATAAAGCTGAAAGCTTAAGGCATCAAACTGAATTAATTTGAATTATTTTATTATAAATGATTCTTAGAATTAAAAAAATGCCCACTGCAAAGAAGAAGGTATTGTTTCCATACGAATTTTGCCCTGTGATTTTCTAAAAAATGAAACTGGTGTAAAAATTGAAAAATCTTGCTTTTTAGATAATTGAAAATCAATGCAGAAAAATCATACAAGTCATTTTTCTTACATGGTTTTTTTAAATGCTAATTATGACGTCATAAACATGTGTATTTTCCCGTATTTTCTTAAAAAGTTGCAGAAGACACCAATTTTCAATGGAATTTTCTTTCAGATAACATTGTCCACAGGCATCGCCCACAAAGATCTTGAGATATGTGATTTGTTATTGAATTTTGCACAAAATATCAAAAAATTAACGTGGGCGACGGCTGTGGACATTGTTTTCGAAAGGAAAATCACCCTTGAAATGTGCCATTTTGAGGCTTTTTCTGTTGAAAATAGAGAAATGCTTCACATTAATGACGTCATATTTACAGAATGGTAAACCTTCATGCCATATTCTTTCCTGATTTATCAGAGGCATTTATTTTACTAATACATAAGCCAGTTTCAAAACTTTTTGATGTCATTACATTTTTAGGGCGCCATAAAGCTAAAACCATACCTTCTTCTTTTCACTTCATATTGCCTTAAAAGAGAAAAGAAACACCAGAAATTAAATTAATGTTCTATTTTTATTCAGAATTTTCAGAGTTGTCATCGAACATATCATCTGCACCATTATCTGAATCTGAAGAGCATATTGGTAGCTTGTATTTGAAAAATGGATGCAAAAAATTTGAACAGTCACTGCCTTTACAATTCCATTTAACATCACAAATGTCACAGCACATATGCCTTACTCTTTTAGGATTTGATTTTGATTTGTAAGCTGAGAGTATGATATCCCTACGACATCTCTCTGTATTTAAAACATATGTTTTCATATCATCATCCAATTTTTTACACTGTTTAACCATTATAAAGTAACAAAGCCATGCATGGCCACTCCTCCGTCACGTCCTGCTCTACCAAACTGCTGAACGAATCCGTCCATATCTTTAGGAGGTCCATAGTTTATAACATATTTAATGGCTTTAAAATTGACCCCCATTTCTGCTGCACTTGTTGCAACCAAAACTCGGATGTTTCCGTCTTCTACACTCATGTCTTCTTTTATTTTTTGTTTAACAGTGTCTGGTGATTGTGAATGGAACATTTCAACATGGATTATGAGATTCCCCAATTCCATTCGTAAGGACGAAAATAATTCACTGCATGTTTTGATAGAAGGACAGAATATCAAAAATCTCTCGCAGAGTTTCTTATCCTTTTTTTAATAAATAAATCAAAGAGTAAAAAAGGTCACAAAGCAAAACAGCGCTCTTAGTTTTATGAATGAAAAGTTTGATATTTTCCCTATCAGGGTTTTGCTACTTCGTGGCAATCTACCACACAGAACTTTTTCTGCATTTCCATCCGTGCTGATTTGTTAGCTGTTGCAGTTATTAACAGGACAGGGCATTGTATAAGGGATCTGATTTCACTCAGCTTGCTGAACCATACACAGAAAGGCTCGTTCTCTGTTTCATGTGTTTCACTTTTACCCCTGAAAATATTAATATATACTAACATTAAAATTCAGATTCTTAGTAGATATTTGATTTGTCTTTTTGTAAAGTGGTAATAATATATGTCTCTATAAATTAATAAGTTTGAAAAGTTGAAATTCAACCATACCAATGCAGTACAGTATGAGCCTCATCCACAACAAATAATTTGAAGCGTTTACTTTCAGCCAGGATTTCTCTCCATTTACTCACAGACAAAATGGATTCGGGTGAAGCAAATAGGAATTGAAAATTGCCATTTATAATATCATCATCTTCGCTACAATCTCTACCAATGTACATGGCTGAAAATTACATGATTTCAAGTATTCACACTGTTCTTTCATTATCGAAATCAATGGGGAAACGATAAGTACACTGCACTCGCATCCATTTTTCTCCGTCCACATTGGCTGGAAACCTTGATAACAAATGCTTTAACCTCCACCAGTTCTGATGGAAAGAAAAGAATCCCGGCCTTTCAATAGCTGAGCAGTTGTTTCCTCCTGAAAAGGTTTCAACGTCTCTAAAATGAATTTTTCCCTCACCACAGAAAATATGTCCTCCATGTTTGTGATATTGCCGAAACTTTGTACGTAACGTAAACTCTGATTGGTTGGCTTAGCATTGAAACTCTGTAATGCGGCCAATCAAATGATGCGTGCATATGTAATTACATACGACGATATCTCGGCGAGTCTGCCTACGGGTGATAAGTAAAAGAAGAGATCACCCGTGGGTATCCGACGATGCATTTATATTTACTTGTCTTCTGTTAATATTAATGTGATTATTTATCAAATAATACAGGGTATGTAGGCATCAGGTAAAGGAGTATACCATGACCCAGGTTGTAGCTGAACTAGCAGTCTGTCTCTCAACCAGGCCCTTATACATGAGATTGGGTTTCAATGTTCTTCAGTGCTGGATGGATTTAGGAGAGGTACCAAATACTGTTGCTGAATTAGCAGAGTTTGGAGAGGAAGGTTAAAAAATTAATTGATGTATTAGTTTTAAACAGCATCGAATTAAAAATTATTTTATTTTCCACCACAGTGCACTGCCCGACAAGAGTGGTATTATATTAGCGGTACTTATGACTCTCACATGATTATAATGGCAAAGGCCATGTTTTGCTATGGGAAACCCAAAATAAGTGACTGATCAAAAATTTAAAAAGAATGTGTATAATGGCATTATATGATAAATAAACTACGAAAGGATAATTAAATTTTATTCAGTGGGACTACATGTAATATAGATAATTTAATTTTGGCTGTAACGCGTCATTTGATTGGATAAAAATTAATCTAAATTCAATAACCTGGGTTGCCTACGTCACAATGACACGTCCAAAATGTATCAATCCGCTTTATGTTACATTTAAAATATGAACAATTTGACGGCGTTTTAAGGGAGAAATTACATTGTACTCTATACTTAATGATTGAAAACTAAATTATAAGGAATGAATTGAATAGCAACCCAAGTTATACTGGTATAACCTTGGTTGGAGCAGTTCACTCTTTTTTATAAACCGCGATGCTATTCAATTCATTCCTGAAATATAATAGGAAAATCAAAATAAAAAAACATACATTTCTTTATTTTCTGTGTGATCAAACAAAGTAAATAAACTCATGGATACAAGAAGATAGGGTAGTATCAGCTTAGAATTATTGAATCAAATACAAGTACCACAAGTATCAAAAATGCCTAACTTGGAATGTCTGAATGCTAACAAAAAGGACTTGCAACATGCGGATACCGTGGACGTTTGTCATGCCATGTGATAATGTCGATGTTTTATTAAAATATATGTGAAGTGCAACAAGAAAAATCCTTAAATGTGTCATTTACAACTCTAATAATTAATGTTTACAAAACAATATTTGAAAAGTTTCAAGGACAGGCAGACAACTGGACAAACTATAGAACCATGTTGTAAAGAAAACTGGAAAGTGTTTGATTTGAAGGAGAACTGTAGTTAAACTGTAATTATGAATATTCAGAAGTGTGTAAAATATGCTTTCTCGAAAATCAGGGTCACAAACGGGGATTGGAAGAAAATCTTTGATGGCTTAAAGCTTATTCCACATCAGTTGGGAGACCATCAGCACTGCTAAGCAGAATTTGTGACTTTTTTGCGGAGACTAGGGGATGTTATCCTCTATAATATAAAGATGCCTACACTGCTGTATGTGTGAAGGTAAATGTCAAAGAAAAAAATGTATTTTGGATGCAGTTTCAGGAGAGGATAAGTGGGATGCAGCAATAAATATACAAAATCATAACACATTCACAATCAGACAGAAATCTTTTTAACGAGCGTGTTAAAAGTAAGGTCTCTTTCCGCACTTTCTACCATTTAAAATACAAGTATATTCATTATAATTATTTTAGTCAAAATGTAAGTATGAAATACATGTAGAGATAAACAACGGTTTTTAAGTCCATAAAAAAATTCATACAAACCAGATGTCTCTATCGAAACTGTAGCTCTACGTATGATAAAGGAAGAGAAAAGTAGCAGTTGGGTCTTAAAACTTTACAAAAGCAATAAATAGAATAATGATCCTTGATTAAGTCTCTTTTTGAGGCAAGATTGCAATAAGACTACAACTATAGGAGTAGCTTTTAATAAAACTTGACAGAATTTTCAATTTTAGTTACCATGATGGCAACATCAATCATCAAAATCAAAAACACAAAACTGATAATTATGTATCTCAGTGTAGTCTTCTTGCATGCCAAATTATATCATAATCAGACTAAAACTGTATTTGGAGTAGCATTTTAAAAGTCTCTTGACACATTTTTATTTTTTATCAATTTGCACTTATAAAAAAATATTTGTTCATGTTTTTCTGCTCTTGACTGTTATAACCGTTGTCTTTGGTATAATTTGGCGTTGCCTATTTCTTCGCATGATTAAGAAAACGATTCCATTTAATATGCCCCCTATATTAGAGAATGTCACAGCAGGAACAATAATTCCGAGAGGAACATTGTCATTAAACTGTTTCCAAGTTCCATAGACTGCTGCTGCCCACCACTGAATGATGAAAACAAAGACAAAGAGAGACATCGTCCTGGCGGACTGTAGAGCTTTTCTGTCGTCTTTGTTACCAATAGTAGCTTTATCAAAGATATAAAATTCATCAAAACATGAATATAAATACTTTAAACACACCAACTGTTACATACACGTAGTTAAGCTGAGATTTATAAGAAATATATGAAGATAACGAATAGTTTTCATCCATATATATACATTGATATCCTAGCTACCTGCCAGTTTCTTTGTTTCTGCCCGAATCTTGTACCACGTGAGTGAGTAAAGACTGCTGTTTAGTGTCAAAACAGTCAATACTGGGATAGTAGATAAAAACAAAAGTGAAATTTCCCCTGCAACTCCGCAACTGAAATATTTAAAAATTTACATGTATAATATTGCTGTCATTTATAAGGTACAAAACTACCATTCCATAAATGTATTACAATACACATAGTTGACTTTTAAGGTCCTTTTTTTGTCTTACACACTTTTCTTTCGTATAGAGATGTCACAGATTGCCGGTAGAGGGCTGCACATTTACGTAGACATATCTTTATCATGCCAGCACCTGCTGTGATATGGGACCTCGGTTTATACATGTACGGTCTCATTCTCTATATATAATTGCACATATTTCAGCATGTCTGTAAATATGTGCCGTTATCAAAGCTTTCCTCTTTATAATTTGGCTTTAAACTAATATTAATTTGAACTTACATATTGTGTAGATTTAAAATTTGATTGTTTTGTTGATAATTGTGTGTATCAGTCTGTGGTGTAATCCGGAAACTTGGACCGGGAATTTATATGCATCTCGCGCATCACTCTGAATTTACAGCATCCCCACTTCCTTTTTCAATCAAGGCCTGTAACCACGGATGGTTTAAAAATTAAGAGTGAAAAATACCCTCCCATCCCAACCCCCATATAATTACTTTGTTTGACTCGTTCACTGTTTCTGCCGTTAAGTTTTATACTTTCAGATACTAGGAATTGTCTACAGAGACAGGAATCCTTGGACCTACATCTCGGATACCAAGAATTGTCTACAGAGACAGGAATCCTTGGACCTACATCTCATCACAGTGGTTCATTTGAATGGTCGTCACCTCCAAGCTGGATGTAGAAATATGATGTTGACTGTTGATACGTTGATGCTGATTTAGTAATTTTTTCATATAGACAGTTAATTTAAAGTAAAGAGTTGTATATTAAATGATATGTTGATGTGTAGGTAATATGATTCTGATCAACCCAGCATGCTACTTGCCGTTTCGGACGACACATAAAATGTTGTTGTTCATTTGAATGACCCCAATGTTGATGTTGTAAATTCATTTATCTGACCACTGTGGCCAATATCTGCCATACAATAAACAATAAACTTAAAAAATGTGTTTTTAATTCTAAAGTAATGCTACAAATGCAAGCAATTGGTCTTGTGTATTGATTTATGGGGGTCTGGGTAGGACAAGTCATTATTGTCTTTGATAATTCTAATCCGCAGTGCAACGATACACTCTGCGATTCTAGAACCCTCTGACTGCGCTACTCTGTCGACTCCTTAATTTTCCTATTTGATGGAAATCGGCGTCTTAAAGCGTTTCAACAGGATAGTGAGATAAAATTAATATGCTCTCTGTGTATTACATGTTTATGTTCAGGCATGTTTGAAGATTAAACAAGGTGAAGCTACATGTATAGTGCTCCATCATATACACCGGCCTTAAAGGTCACCTGTTTATAATGATCCATTGAAGTATGAAATACAACGAACTGATATATGAAGCATTCATGCCCTGTGGACATTATTTTAGTTGAAAATGTAATTTTTTTTTCAATTTAATGATTGATAGTTCTCTTCGATTTTCCATGGTTTTAATCCAAACGTATCCGTTTGTTTATATAACATATTGAGGCATTGAAATAACAACTTTGGGATATGAAAACATTTCTTCTGTGGCCGATTTCCTGTGGATAAATAGTACAACATCTTGAAAGAAGTGTTATCAAGAACTTGGGTTAAAAGGGAACTCCCCTACTTACTACTGCCACGTTAGCTCAGTCGGTTAATCGGGAAGTCCTGATTTCAAATCTCGGCTGCGATTGGCTTAAGTCGATAAAAAATCTTGCAACTGCTGGGCACTTTGAAAAGAAATGTGCAGGTGTTTCGGATGAGATCTTGAAAAACCGAGGCTCTGTGTAAGGCAGGCCTTAGGCTTTAGAGACCGTTCGATGCTAAATGGCATTGAGCGCCGATCAAGTAAAATAAATGGGAGAGGACTGCCTAAGGTTATGGAACTTGTGTCCAATCCCTTTGACATGTTGTCAATAAAATATGTTCAAAACAAGTAAAGGTCAAATTTTGTACTTAAGGACATACGCAAGGTACCTTACCTACTGATAACTTTTCAAGATATTCTAAATTTAAACTTATAATACCATATTACATATTCTTAGACAAAAAATCAGCAAGTGTTACCAGGGGTTTTGAAAAGATAGCAAATTATGTAGATTTTTGCATTATTCAAAGAAAAATGTACAAAAATTACAAAACATAAATTCCAGATTTTTTTTTCATCAAAATTTGTTATGGAAGAGGTGTACAAATCCTTATATAGACATTAAAAGTATTACACATAGGTCCTTTATTTCCTGGAACTCTTCAACTCCAAGGAAGAACCCAATAAAGTTCAAACTACGTTGCTATGACCTTAAAGCGTTCACCGATATATTGCGACGTCCCTATAGATATAAATGAAAAATTCTCGAATGGGACGTTTTTGTTTGTATGTTGTTTGACGTCCCTTTTGAGAATTTTTAACTCTTATGGAGACGCCAACACTTGCCGATGGAGAGCTGCAAATTGTGCCCTATACTCCGCCACTTATGGCCATTGAGTAGTGAGGGGTATCTTTTACGTGACAGGACTTACTTCGACACGGGACCTCGGTTAAAAGGGTCTCGTCTGAAGGACCGGTCTCAACATTCCACATTGGGATTCGAATCCGCGACGGATCAACTCCTTACTTCGCGACTCTACAGCAGATGCTCTAACCACTGCGCCACGCGAACGACTTGACTGGGGCATTAAACAACACACAATCAATGAACAATCCATACTTACGATACGCCAGTCGGTCCCATTTCATGTGCAATGGTTATACCTAGACATTCCACAAAAGGAAATCCAAATGTAAGTGATAGAAGTTTCCAGTCATACTTTCCAAGGTCTATCTTCTTACCAAACTTAATTAGGGCAAAGGCGTTTATAGCAATTAGAGAAACTAGTAACATTTGGGCGGAAATAAACATGAACATGATGAAGCCATAGTATTCGCACAGTTCTATTGGATGAACATGGTCTTCAGCTAGCGCCATATGAAAGTGATCCATAAAGTGAATAAGGTTGAAAAACCCATCGCACACAGCCAAATATACTACAAAACGCTCACACTTTGTCCATGATTTGAAAAATGTACGTGCAGATTTAGAACGGAATGATAACACAAGAGTAACAACTACCGATACAAAACTACATACTATAGAGATGAGTGCCGAGGAGTGAACCAAATAAAAAGTTTGCGTTCCAAGTCCAACAACAGGTACGTTGTAGCGTAAGTCCTGTATATGGTGCTTGTTAGTTAAACTTTTGTTCAAAGACATCCTTCAGTACGAATCTGAAATCAAATGGAAAAGTGGAAAAAGAACAGTTTCGAAGTATGTACCGCAATATATATCCTCTAAGAGCTTTAAAAGGGACCGTTCGTTATAAACATTGGTTCAAATGAGTCCAATAATCTGTAGTAAACAAATAAATCCAACACAATTACCAAGTCAAAGTTGTGAAAAACACCATTGAATGCTAAATTAATTAGTATTTCATATCAGAAAGATATGAAAAATATTCCTTTACGTTATAAACATCTTAATAATGTTGCTTAGCATAACCAGTCCATCTCGTATAAAACATGTATTCTAATCATGAAGAATTTGCGATTTACAGAAAAAAGTATTATTTGACATTACTTTTTTACCAGTTCATTTTGTATTATATATATAAGTAATTGTAAACTTTAATAGTTGATATTAGTATTCAATACTGTAACTATAGTATATGAAAAAAGCTCTTTTATGAGGTCGATCCATGCATGTAGATATATCGACTTCATCACAAAAGCATATCGACAGAGTACTAAGTGCGAAGTCGATATCTCTTCTGTGTAGTCGATATATCTATGGATTGACCAAAGGGCTACATTTTTTGTTTTGCTTTTAAGAAATTAACAAAGCCCAATTTGAAGATGAGCAAGCCATGTTTTCTCTAGTACCTTTTTAAATTCAGACTAACGATAAAAAATAAGCTGTTTATCCTAATTTCGGAAATGTAATTTCATAAACTACATTTCAGTGGTATTTTTAGGTCACCTGAGTCACCCATCCGTTTCCGTCCGTCGTCGTTTGTTGTGTGTTAACATTTGAACATTTTCAACTTCTTCCCTGAAACCACTGAACCAATTTCAAAGAAATTTAGTATACAGCATCTATGGGTGAAGGGGAACAAAAATTGTGAATTTTATGGTCCCCGCCCCCCTGGGGCCTGAGGGGTGGGGCCAAAACCACTAAAATTAATGAAATCTTTAAAAATCTTTTTTACTCCTGGGCATCAAGCAGTCAAACTGTTGGCATGATTGTAATGAACACTGAGTTTCTGCCTAAATTGTGAATTTCATGGCCCCAGGGTCACGGGTTCTGGTGTTAGGGCGGGGCTATATAGGTTATACAGTCAAATTGCATGATTTCTTCTCCGCTCCTGGGTATTAAGTAAACTAACTAAGTGCATAGTTATGATGAGCAAGAGTGCCTCTTCCAAAATTGTGAATTTTATGGCCCCAGGGTCAGGGGTTCTGGTGTTAGGGCGGGGCTCTTTTGATCATATAGTGAAAATGCATTAATTATTTGAAAATCTTCTTCTCTGCTTCTGGGTATTATATAAACTATGTAAGTACATAGTTATTTTGAGCAAGAGTGCCTCTTCCAAAATTTTGAATTTTATGGCCCCAGGGTCAGGGGTTCTGGTGTTAAGGCGGGGCTATATACATTATACAGTCAAAATGCATGATTTCTTTGAAAATCTTCTTCTCTGCTCCTGGGTATTAAATAAACTATGTAAGTACATAGGTATGATGAGGAAGAGTGCCTCTTCCAAAATTGTGAATTTTATGGCCCCAGGGTCAGGGGTTCTGGTGTTAGGGTGGGGCTCTACTGATTATATTGTGAAAATACATTAATTCTTTGAAAATCTTTTCCTTTGCTCCTGGGTTTTATGCCAATAATCCAAGTATATATATTTATGATGAAGAAAGGTGCATCTAGCAAAATGGTTATTTTTTATGCCCCCCCCTTCTGGGTTGAGGAGTGTTACATAGTCTGAAAATAAATTAATGCTTTGAAATCTGCTCTTTGGTAGTAATCAACCATTTTATGATAAAATTTGCAAAATTTTGAAATGTGTGGCCCCAGGGTTAGTGGTTCCGTTGGGATGAGGTGCACAACTGGTTATAAAGTGGAAGGGCATTTTCTCTTTGTTGCTCTGATCTACCTCTGGGTATTAAGTAAAAAGAGTAAGCATGCTAAGTCTATAATTATGATAAGCAATGGTGCCTCTTTAAAAATCGTGAATTGTCAATATCATGGCCTCTGGTTTAACAAAAATACCAAATTAAATTGTTTGAAAGTTGTTACACAATACTCAGGTGACCTATAAGGCCCGTGGGCCTCTTGTATGAAAAATATTTCCAATTTATTATACCCCCCCACGTTGAAAAGTGAGAGGATATATAGTTGGGATGTACGAGGGTTGTTAGAAAAGTTCGCGGACACACTGAATTACGGAAAATCTATTGTGTACTGTGAAGTATGACCTATGTCTGAATAAATTCCTACATTTTGTTTATTGGTATGTAAAAAATCAGGTCCATATAATAAAATCTTGAAAATTTACAACGATTTTTACTATGAGGTTATGGGATTCACGGAGCAATCACTTGACGTAAGGCGACGTAACAACCAGATTTCAACCCGTTATGCTTTGTCGCAGTTCTATAAATCTTTGGTTTTTTCTTATCTTTTTTTCTATTTTAAAATTGAATATCTATATCAAGACATGTTACTTTTCTTCTATAATGTCTTTTGTTCTGATTCGGATATTATTGAGATCTTTAAAAGAGTTTATGCAGTTAATAAGTTAATCGATCAGGTATGGAAACTATGCAAAACCATATAGGCGCAACGCAACGTCCATGCGATACGGGGGTATCGAAGTATCGCTGGAGTTAATCTTTCAAAATGTCATTCCTACCATTCTTATGAAGCTACAACCATTTGAAAAACTTGTTAACTTTAGGTTAGGAAATTCGCGGCAGCATCTTGAACATTTTAATCTCTTTTTAGACATTTTCCAGTCTGCATACATAATTTTTACGCAGCGCAGTGCTCCATGACGCTCAATGACGTTCCGATTTTTGGCTGTGTTTTTACGCAATGATCATTTACAAACGGCTATAAAACAGTCATATATCCTCCAATTTAGTTCAAAATTTCTCCAAGTGACGTTTCATAAATACTTTAGCGGCAGGTAAAATATCATAAAACTTTTTGCGCTACAATTGTGCAATTTTAAATTTTAATAAAGAGTCTTTGTGATGTAAACGTGCCAAAATGTAGCATGCTCCGTGAAGAAAGTTTTATCAAAATAAAAAAGCTGTATATTTTTTAATAATCACCGGAGAGCAACCATCTCTTGTATATTTATTGGAAAAAAGGTAAAGATTCTATCTGGAAAGTTTGACCGGTTTCGTGGAAATAGCGCGCTCACAATTGAACTTGTCCGCGAACTTTTCTAACACCCCTCGTATGTCTGTAAGTATGTCCATCCGTCTGTTGCGCTGCCTGCTGCCTACCCTTTGTCCGCAACTCCTGTTTTACCACTGAATGAAATTTAATTTAACTTATTGAAGGGTACCCATCTCTTATCCACAATACACTGTACCTCTTATACCACTTTCACATAAACTTTATTACATAATACCATTGTGCACCACTTATTTTATCTTTCTGGTCTGACACTTATTTATATATAAGATATATTTAATCCTTGTGACAAGACATTTCTTTGGGTACCACCAAATTTGACCCTTTGACACTGGAGTTTGACCTGCTTTCAAAACTGGTAACTTTTGCTATAACTTTTGAAGGGTAAGGGCTAGGGCTTTCATCCTTCACATATGTATTCTTTGTGGCAAGACCTTTCATTCAATAACCTTGACCTTGGAGATTTCCGTACTTATGAAAAAACCTAAGGGCTAGTGCTCTCATACTTCACATATGTTATCCTTGTGAAAGACCCTTCATTGGATACCAAGAACTTTTGACCTTGACCTTGGAGTTTGACATACTTTAAAAAACATATCTTGATCATGACTTTTGAAGGGTTAGAGCTAATGCTTTTACACTTTTCATATTTAATACTTGTGTCTCTCTCACCCCTCTCAAAGTGTCCCGCTTCGTTTGTTTTATTAGTACTTATTGTATTACATGTCGCTATTTTTAGCACAGGGGCATGAGGAAAGTTATTACGTATAAAACAGGTTCTCAGCGGACTTTATATTCTTATTACATCTATTAGAACTGTTTATAAAGGTTAAATTAGACATCATGCATTGTGTAAAATTTTGACAAAATCGAACGTGAATATATACATGTAGGTGACTTCATGTTTGCATATAATTTCCGTTAGTTTAGAGCGGTTTTGTGGTGTAGTGGTATGTCTATCGCTTTACATATGAGAGGTCCGGGGATCGAGTCTCGGTCGATCCATTTTCTTTTTTTTTCCGAAACACTTTTTTTATTTTACTAAATGATAGTATTCAGCGTGTGAAATGAAAAATTTATGAGGTCTGGCTTGTACAAACTCATAAAATCATCATTACAGCGTGATAAATATTCCATATAAAAAGAATCTTCTATACATATAATAAAGAATAAGCAATCAAATCTTTATATCAATATTGGCATATTTTATTTGCTTCGGTATACATGTATACATTTAATAATTCTACAGATGCAGTCAGGGGGATCCGACTCCCCCCCCCCCCTTTCCCCCGAAATGCGCATGGTTTACTTTTTTCCTAAGCGGAGGACACAAATTCTCTGAATTAGCATGTGTTTCTATGCGCTCGGTCGATAGATCAGGGCGTATATTGTTTTTGTCCTGTCTGTTTATCCGTTTGTCTGTCTGTTGCATCCTTCGCCATTACTTTTTAACCATAAGAGATAGAGACTTCATATTTGATATACATACTTCACTGATAAGGCTCTTTCAAATGACACCAAGTTCAGTGACCTTGTACCTTGACTCTGACCTCTATGCTAAAAATAACTTTTTGAACTTCGCCCTAACGTTTGAACCATGTCAGAGAGACAGACTTCATACTCAATTAAGTAAGAGTTTCTTTAAATGACACCACCGAGGTCAATGACCTTTTGACCTTGACTGTGACCTGTATGCGAAAAATAGATTTTTCGAACTTTCGCCATAACTTTTGAACCATATAAGATAGAAACTTCATATTTCGTATGCATATTCCACTATTTAAGTTCTTTCAAATGACACCAAGGTAAATGACCTTTACTTTGACCTACATGTAAATGCTAAAAATAGCTGATTTGAACTGTTGATTCCAGGCGCATAGTGTTTCACAAATACATCTAGTTCATACATGTATTTAATAATTAATTTTGCTCATCTATTTCAATTGAAAAACAAGAGACCCATGAATCTTATCGCTCACCTGAGTAACTTTGGTCATGCTGTTCTGTAACAGATTTCCACCCTTGTAATACCAACTGTGACCTCACCCTACCCCAGGGGTCATCATTTAAACAATTTAGAATCTACATTACCCAAAGATGCTTTCATATAAGTTTACGCTTTTCTGGCTCAATAGTTCTTGAGAATATTTTGTAAGATTTTTTCTTTATTTTTCAATGCAAAACTTTTCCATATTTTGGCCCCGCCCTACCCCTGGCGGTCATAAATTGAACTTCTACACCACCCTAGGATGTTTTCACCTGTTTAATCTTTTTCGACCCAGTGAATTTTTAGAAGATTTTCCCATGTATTTCAATGTTACATGTAATATTGGATTTCCTATTGTGGTCCCGCCCTATTCCGGGGGGGGGGGGGGGTAATTTGAACAATTTAGAATCTACCTTATTCCATGATGCTTTCACATAAGTTTCAACTCTTCTGGCTCAGTGGTTCTTGGGGAGTTGATTTTTTAGTGACCGCACCTTATTTTTGTCTTTTCTTAAATATCTCACCTTGCAAAGCGACTTGTTCCTTCATTTTAATAATTTAACTTTCATTTACCAAAGGAAGTTTTAAATCAAATTTGGTAAGTCCTAGTATGGTATATACAATGACCTTATCAGCAAATACAATTTATCATTGAGTCAAATGCTGACTGACGTTTTTCATACTAATTGTTAGTCCATTATTATACCCCCGCTTGAAAGTTGGGAGGGTATACTGTAATCGGTATGTCCGTCCGTTCGTCTGTCCGTCTAGCTGTCTGTCCGTCCGTCCGTCTGTCTGTTACGCTTTGGGGTACCCATCTCTTATCCGCAACTCCTCTTATACCACTGAGTGAAATTTAATGAAACTTTCACAGAATCTTTATTACATATTGCCATTGTGCACCTCTTATTTTATTTTTTGATCCGACACATATTTTGGGTTTCCCGGCCACAGCAAAACATGAACTTTGCCATTATAATCATATGGGAGGCGGGGGGGGGGGGGTATCATTTAGTGAGCTCATTACTCACAGTACCTCTAGTTTATACACTAAATTGACGACGGTTTTTCCGTTATTTCCTGATCATGACAAGGAGCACACGGCGGGTGTGACCGGTCAGCAGGGGATGCTCTCTCCTCCATGGCACCTGATCCCACCTCTAATGTTTCGTTCTGCTCCTATTTTGTATTGTTTAACGGACTTTGAAATTGAATACTGTTCGTTATCTCCATATCCTTATTAGTGTGCAGTCAGGAATTAGTTGATTAATCAGTTGATTTAGTTGATTAAACAAAAAAGTTCACCGTTTTTGTTCGATTATCAACCGACTAATTGTTTTTCGTAAATCTTCTGGACAATAGTCTCCATCAATCAGACGCATGTCTTTCTCACACTGTAAATCGAAGCGTTTTGATGATCAAAACTTATTTCTATTGTTTACTTATTTCCCGGGCGACAATTGATGGTTACGAGGGCTGTTCAGTAAATTATGTCCTGAACCCTATGACATCCTAAATCGAAATCATATGAAATAAACCTTGGAATGTTCTTAAGATTTGATCTTTGATAAACTGATAACCGTTGATTTGACGTTCAAGAAATTTCATTGCCAGAAGCTGGAAAACAGGCTATTCGACACATTGCATAAAAAACGAATGATAGAGAACTAGTAAACAAGTTTAGAGTAAAGTTAGAAGCTGCTGTAAAACGTATTAAGATTTGCAAAAAATATTAATTGTCAAAATACTGTAGCGTTATGGCTTTATATATTGGTTAGTCTTTGACCATAACGCTACAGATTAAAAGGTGCGATTTAGGGCACAAGATGTTTTGCACACTGTTGGGAGGAATTGATCCAAGTTCCAGCATTTCTAAATTTGTAATAAATACCTTGTTTCGTATACCCCCTTCTTGAAAAGCGGGAGAATATGTAGTAATTGGTATGTCCGTCTGTCTGTCTGTCTGTTACACTTTGAGTTACCCATCTCTTATCCACAACTCCTCTCATGCATACCACTGAATGGAATTTGATAAAACTTTCACAGAATCTTTATTTCATATTGCCATTGTGCACTTCCTATTTTACCTTTTGATCCGACACACACTTTGGGTATCTCGGATCAAAACATCGACACTGCTAATATTGATATGGCAGGCGTGGGGGGATCATTTAGTGAACTCAATGCTCGCAGTACCTCTTTTTTATCGTAAAACATTAGTGTAATAGACAAGCTGTGAAGATTTCAATATTATTTACATTTATCTTCCTTTGTTATTAATGCAAGACCGAGGCCAAGTCAACTGAGCTAGTATTTTGATGGATTAAAAGAAAATAACAACAGCGTCATACCCCCACTTGAAAAGTGGGAGGGTATATAGTAATCGGGATGTTCGTCTGTACGTCCGTCCTCTGTTACGCTTCGAAGTACCCATCTCTTATCCGCAACTCCTCTCATACCACTGAAAGAAATTTGATGAGACTTTCACAGAATATTTATATAACTACATATTGCCATCGTGCATCTCCAATTTTACTTTTTGACCCGACACATATTTTTGGTTTTCCATAGCAAAACATGGACACTGCCATTATATTCATATGGGAGGCGGAGGTAGTGAGCTCATTGCTCACAGTACCGCTAGATTATTTCTATTTTCTTGAACTGTATATGACTTTAATCGTTTCTTCGCTTTTAAAATTTCATTCTTTACAGTAGCTTAGCCTATTGGAATGAGTATTAGCTTTTACAAATGTATTAAATGGAATAGTTCTTTTCGAACGACGCAGCTTTGAGCTTGAGAAGTATGAGACAATGATTAGAGACCTGCGACAAAACAGATTAAATATACATGTAATAACTATGACTGATGAAGTTTTTCTAGGTAAATTAAACAACAAACCAAAATAAGAAGGTATTCGGGATTTTAAACATATACGTAATGCTATTACAGAATTTTAAGCGAAAATTGACGATGTGGAAACGTCGAAATCAGCAATTTTCTAACAGTCATTGTCTATTTTTACATTCCTTTTCAACATGTTTAAGTGAAATACTTGTATATCGTCCGTTTCCACCCGACATTTTCATTATATTCCGAAATCGTCAAACTTTCAACCCCTTTAATAAAAAATTTAATAGTAATTTCAAAGGAATGGCCTTTATACTAGAACAATATATTCATAAGCAAAAAGAATCAATAATAATAATTGAGAGGTATTATGATTTTGCACTCATTACTGTTGCTAACCACTTAAACATTTTATTTACGTCTCCGCATGAATAAGAGATTTCTGTGAAGCTTAAGGTTACTTTGGAAGACACAATGTAATGCCTTTAAATTAATAGATTCCCGTTCAGTCACATTTAATCCAACAATAACACGATAGATAATAATTATCTCGTCGTTTTTAGATATCGAAGTTAGAGTACGAAGTAAAGAGCACGATTTTTTCCAAATATTTATAATCTTTGTTCTCAGAGAACAGACATCGTTTTTCTTTTAAGAAAGTCAATAAAAATTCATCAATGCATAAATCTCCACTAATTCATCCCCATCGATTAATGGAAAAATAACATAAAAGGCCAGGACATCTAGAACCTTTTGGCTGAACTGTTAAAGTTGACACTCGCGGCCGGACTCCTATAGTTGTCTATCGATAATAGACGCATATATTTATATTGTCTAAAGGCAAAAAAGTATCCATGGTAGACCCACGTTACGATGTCCCTGTGGTAGGACTGGGCACCGCCAGCTTTTATGTGATCCATTCCCTTGCGCTAACCTGTATCCTAACCAGCCTTTTTTCGGCTATATCAATAATTGTTGCATCCTTTTGCACACGATCTGCTAGAACCTTCTTCAAATCGTGGTCGAAATGCGAACGTTTTGTCGTTTATTTGGCTTTTTGCGATGGTTTTTTTAACCTCGCTCACTTCATGGATCATTTCCATATGGCAATTGTCAAAGACCACGTCCATCCAATAGAACTGTGCGAATTCTATGGTTTTATTGTATTCATGTTCATTTCCTCGCAAATGTTCCTGGTATCCCTAATTGCAATTAACGCCTTTGCTCTGATGAAATTTGGTAAAAATATAAACTTTGGAAAGTATGATTGGAAACTTCTTTTGTTAACATATGGATTTCCATTTGTTGAGTGTCTTGCTGTTACCATTGCCGGTGAGATGGGGCCAACTGGAGCGTAGTGAGTATAAATTTAGAGTAAATTGAGCAGAACATGTTACAGGCATATATAAATAAAATTAGAGTAAATTGAGCAGAACATGTTACATGCTAATATAAATAAAATGCTCAGTATGATATCTTTTTTTCAGTTGTGGGGTAGCGGGAGACGTCTCTTCTCTTTTCTTCTCTGCAATACCAGTGTTGATTGTAATAACTCTAAACATCATTCTGTATACAATTACATGGTTCAAGATTCGATCGGAGACAAAACGATTGGCCGGTAAGTACATCAGTCCATTTTTATTTTCTAGTTTAATATGAATAATAGCTAATGATAACTAAGGACAATTTTGTTAAAGAGAATGCATTGCCCTTTTTCACCTTGATGACATTTTGTGTATTTTTCCTAATAGGTACAATCGGAGAGAAGGCTAATTCTGACAGAAAAAGCGCTCAGGCTGCCAAAAATATGTCTTTGTTTGTACTGGTATTCATTATTCAGTGGTGGGCTTTGGTGGTCTACGGAGCCTGGCAAATGGCGGTTGAAAACGTTCCTCTTGAAATGTTCCTTTTAGTGACGACGTTTTCTAATATAGGCGGGGTTTTGAATGGAATTGTCTTTTTGCTCATGCGTAGAAACAAAAAGCGTCAGACACTCCCGAAAGTGACGACTGTCATTTCTGTTAATATGAAGTCACAGACGACCGAGACCAGAGTATCGGACTAGATTTTAGTAAAGAAGAAAAATAGGAAAGAGATATTTAAAACATGAACTTTACAGTCACCTTAAAAATAAAGTGATAATACTTATAATTACAAATACTATAAGGTGAGAATCAAATGACGTTGGTGATATTTATTTCGAAATAACTATCTAAAAAGAACAAATACTTAATATATGTTAAAAAGAGAAAACAAAAAACTATATGGTTTAAATCGTTTACATCAAGAATAAAATGCTGTCTTGGGTTGCCTGTACGGATATTAATATCGCAACTGTTGCAGAAAAAATACCCTTGGGGCACAGGCGCTTGTTTCATACAGTGAGCTTAGTTTTCTACTATATAATAACACAAGGTATCCATCTTTCCCGAGACCAAATATGTAGGTCACCAATTCAAACCCCTTTTTTATTTATTATACGCAACTGGCAACAAAAAACCCACATGTAATGGTTAGCGGAATCCCCCTTCTTGGACCTCATGTATATTTCCTTACCTCACCCCCTCGCGAACTTTGACATTGACCATAAAATTACACGCTTCGTCAATCGAAAGAAAAAGTACATCTCTAAACAGCTCAGCACTTCCGGTTTGGCAATCGCGATATAAAACACAAGATCTCATTGGCTACTGGTACATTTTGCACTGGTGTAGAGAGGATCCTTTACAAAATATTTTTGCTTTAATAATAACTATCAGATCATCTTAAAAATCACCAACACGTTGTCATCTCACAAAATATTTGAAAGAAAACCTAGAACAATATCGATTTTCAAATTTGCGCCAAAATAATATTTCGGTTTTCTCTTCTGCCTTATACAATTGCATTGAAAACTCCCGAGAGTACCAGTAGCCAATGAGAACTTGTGAATCATATTGCGATTGCCAAACCGGAAGTGCTGAGCTGTTTAGAGATGTACTTTTTCTTTTGATTGACGCAGCGTGTAATTTTATGGTAAATATCAAAGTTCGCGAGGGGGTGAGGTAAGGAAATGTACATGAGGTCCAAGAATGGGGATTCCGCTAACCATTACATGTGGGTTTTTTGTTGCCAGCTGCGGATAATAAATAAAATAGGGGTTTGAATTGATGACCTACATATTTGGTCTCGGGAAAGATGGATACCTTGTGTTATTATATAGTAGAAAACTAAGCTCACTGTATGAAACAAGCGCCTGTGCCTTGGGGTCATTTGAACAATTTTGAATCAACATACATGTATATACCACCTGAGGTTGCTTTAACATAAATATGACCAATCATTGCTTTGCTGTTCATGTGAAGAAAACTTTTTAAGATTTTTTCCTATGTATTCCTAAGTAAAACTTTGATCGCCTGTTGCTGCACCCTACCCCTGGTGTTCATGTTTTTAACAAATTTGAATCTACACTACCTAACAATGATTCCTCTAGTATCATCTTTCCTGGTCCATTGGTTCTGGAGAAGATTTTTCAATTAGTTCTTTGCTATTTTTTATTTATTTATTGCTATTTTCTCCCTTTGGAAGAGGACTTGGCCCTTCATTTGAATATACTTGAATCCTCTTCACCTAGGAATACTCTACTTTGAGTTTGGTTGAAACTAGTCCAGTAGTTCTGGAGAAGACAATGAAATTATGAAAATTTTACGACATCGACGACAGACAAATTTCGATCAGAAAAGCACACTTGAGCCTTCGGTTGTTCAAAATCAGTTTTAGATTGCGTTGTAAAAGCATACGTGTTTTCTCCGATGAAAAAAGACAGAATCGAAATTTGATGAACAAAAGATAAGTACATGTATGATTGGACCTGAAAACAGAGCAAAAGGTAAAAGAAAAAGATTAGTCAAAATGGATTCTTCGCTCTCTTGGTATGATATTTCTAAACCTTTAAACCAAATGTGAAATTGCGTCATATCAATTCATGATTTAACAGATTGAAAACTGAGCATTGAAGTTATGTGCATCACTCATGGATTTAAAAGTATAATACTGAGAAGATGACGCACAGCTCACAAAAAAATCTTGTATACGCGAAGAGAAGAAAAAAAGTACGATAGGACGTGTACAGGTACTATATAACAAAGATTCTGTGAAAAATCTCATTAAATTGCATTCAGCAGTTTTTAAAAAGTTGTGGATACGAGATAGGTACCCTAAAGCGTAACAGACAGACAGATGGTCATCCCGATCACTATACATGAGAAGGATATGAAGATAACGAACAGTATTCAATATCAAAGTCCATAAAACAATACAAATTAGGAGCAGAGCAAACACGGACCTCCGAAACATCAGACATGGGATAAGATGCCATGGAGGAGTAAGCATCCCCTGCTGACCGGTCACACCCGACGTGTGCACCTTTTCATGATCGGGAAATAACGGAAAAATCCGTCGTCAATTCAGTGTATATATAATGGACTAATAATTAGTATGAAAAACGTCAGTCAGTATAAAATTTGTCTCAATGATAAATTGTTTTTGCTGTCATTGTCATATACATGTACATGTATACCCTCCCTCTTTTCAAGCGAGGGGTATAAAAAGAACAACAAAAGGTAACTGGAAGCATCGCAGCCTGGTATTATAAATAAAGACATGCAATTACAATGAACCACTATTGTCACTTCATTCTTTTCAAATATAAAAAATAATTATTAATTGTATTTTTTTTTACGAATTCTAATCTAAAACCGATGCGTAAGGACGTCAACTTTTATATAATTATATCTAATTAAAACATATTGATTCATTTTTAAGCAACATGTTAATTAAGTGGAAAACTAAGTCTTATTCATGAGAAATACAGTGAACTTAACGAACTGCGAAAGATAGTATTGTTCTCCCGCCTACCTCCAAGTCAATTTTCAACAGTTGACATATTTGAATGCTTTTTATACCCCCCTTCACTTTTAAAAGCAGGAGGGAATGTAGTAATCGGGATGTCCGGCAGATTGTTACGCTTTGGGATACCCATCTCTGTCCTTTCCATATCTAGGTAAATAATTGAATTAAATAGTAAATCAATAAGATAACCAGAGGGGTGCAACGATTAACTGGTTCACTCTGAAACAAGGGCCCAGTCGCCCTCGGACTACCGCGTATACTGCAGGATGCCTAAATCAGGACGGACAATATAGCCCTTCATCCACTACTCTCATTGTATGATGCCTTGTTCAGGACGGACTACGAGTATAACAGCCTGGACGGACTAGTCAGCAAATGCAGACGCTCGAGTCAAAACAAACTATGACTAACCTCCATATTGGAGGTCAACGTCGTTTGTGGCAGGCCTTAATTGGTTTGGTCTTCCAAATTCCCTCTCTAAGCTGTAAAACAGGCGAGGAATATTAAAAACGTGAATACATTATGCGAACGATAGTATTGTTCTCGCGCCTACCTCCAAGTCAATTTTCAAAAGTTAATATATTCAAATGATTTTTATGTGGATTTTCATAAAACGTTACTTATTTGGAAAAACAAAGAAAGATAACTCTATAAATTTTCTCACTCTAGAAGTCAAACTGAAAACATATTTAACCCCCCCCCCCCTCTCCCGTGAAACAAGAATTCCTTTTTGTCCCCCGCTTTTGCGAAAGCGAGGGGACAATAAATTTCATTCGTCTGTCCGTCAGAAAAACTTTAACCTTGCCAATAGCTTTTGATTAAGTGGAGCTATGACTTTCATATTTCACATGTGTATTCCTTGTGACAAGACCTTTCTTTGGATACCACCAAATTTGATCTTTTGACCTTGTAGATACTAGGACTTTCATAGTAAACATATGTATTCTTTGTGACAAGGCCTTTCATTGGATACCAACAACCCTGACCTATTGACTTTGACCTTTCTTAACTTGTGAAAAAACTTTAACCTTGGCCATAATGTTTGAATGGTAAGGGATAGGGCTTTCATACTTCACATATGTAATCCTTGTGAGAAGACCTTTTATTGGATACAAAGAATTTTGACCTTGACCTTGGATTTTAACATATAATTGGGCGTTCATATTTGAGACAATATGCCATTATAATAAAATTACATCTCACCCATAAAGACACCGAAAGCGGGGGACCACAAATCTTTGGATTTGCTTGTTACAGGTAATATGGACTGTCATTCTACAACTTTAAGCCAAAGATTTTTGTTCCACGCAGGAGGGGGGGGGGGGGGCATATATTTATTAAAAAAAAAGAAGAACGATAAAAATGCTTATTTTCCACCAATTTTAAAGCGATATAAAACTAAAGAATCGTATTTCATTGATTTATATAAGTTTATAGAAGTTCTAAGCCTCATATGAGCTTTATCGACCATCTGTCTGATCACATTTTGTCAGTCCGTCACATTTTCGACTTCTTCTCAAGAACCAGTGGACCAATTTTGACTAGACTTGGTCCAAAGCATTCTTCGATAAAGGGGAATCAAAATTGTTAAAATGAAGGGCCAAGTCCCCTCACAAGAGGAGATAATCAAGAAAAGACAAAAATAGGGTGGGGTCATTAAAAAATCTTCTCAAGAACAACTGGGCCAGAAAAGGTGAGACTTATGTAGAAGCATCCTGGGGTAGTGTAGATTCTAAATTGTTCAGATCATGACCCCGGGGGGTAGGGCAAACCTATGTATACGCCAGAGAGTATCGAACGTTACAAATTCTTTTCTTGGCGGCTAATTTCTAAAGAATAAAGAAAACGAATGTCCCACAACTGCGGGCAACTTTTTACCAGTTAATTACAATATTTTAATTGATAAAATAAACAAGTAATAAAGTGAAACCCATAAAAGACAAAGAAGTAAAATAATTAAAAATTTAAAATAATTATATATTTTTATATTTAATATATTTGGGGGGAGGAGAAGCAAAATCAGCATATTTAAATCTTAAACTAGTGTTTCAAATTGAATAAAAAGCTTCTTTAAAAGGATTTTTTTTAACAAATATATTTAATCTATATCTATGCTTTTTCAAAACATTGAAGACGATAAAAACAACTCTCTTAGCATTAAAGACATATGCTAAAGACATTACACAGAAAATGTCAGTGCAAAATGTAAATAATCGTACGATCGGTAAAGAGATTAAAAAGCTGTTTGAAATGACTGTAAAAAAAGACGTTCCTGTGCAAACTGGGCAGAAATTGAAATCCTTTATCATGGTATAAAATTTAAAGAACAAAATGCAACAAACATCAGTATTAAAGACATCCCCAAAGTTTTCCCCCCTGATTTTTCCAAATTCCATCCAATCCTTGTGACAGCAGCAAGATAAAATTAGGACATTTCCTCGGTGTCTCTTTAAACAATAGTCAGATTTTTCTAGAAGTTATGTTTGATACATGTGAAAAAAGACATGTAGAGTGATATCCTGTGGGAAACAAGTGCTCTCAAAAGAATAATACCTTTGAGCTTACAGAAAAATCGGTGACATCAATTTTTTCTGCCGTTAAAAAAATGAAAATTTGCAGAGGTGTTCCTGAGAGCAATGTGGCACAACACAGTCCCAATGTGCTAAAAGTAAATCACTACAGTATTGCATGCAATAACCACATAACATCATATCATTCAACGACATGTAATACATTTACATGTATTTCAATAAAATTATTTGGTCGGTAGGTTAGTTGGAAAAACTTTTTTCCAGAAAAATTCAACATATTTGTAGACAGTTTTAAAGAAATAAACAAAACATATGAATTGGAATGTTAAAAAAAGTTTTGAGTCGGGCCTATTTTAGTCAAGTCAGGAGAGGGCAACCAAAATTTTTAGCTCACCTGAGCTGAAAGCTCGAGTGAGCTTTTTTGATCACACGATGTCCGTGAACCACTGGGCCTTTAACCAAACTTATTACAAAGTATTCTTGGGCAAGGGGGAGTTTTAAAATATCAAAATAAAGAGCCTAGTCCCCTTTCAAGGGGAAATAAACAAGAAAAGACAAAATAAGGTGGGATCATTAAAAATCTTCTGAAGGACTGGGCCAGGAAAGCTGAAACGTATGTGGAAGCATTCTGGGGTAGAATAGATTCTAAAGTATTTAAATCATGACAGGGGAGGGGGTAGGGGGCCACAACAGGTATAACAAGAGAGGAAATCTGGTCAAGAACTGCATCACCAAAGTTACCCAGGTGAGCGATGTGGCCCATGAGCCTCTTGTTTAATGGTGGCATGAAAGAAAATGTTGTAATACTTCAAAATAACAAAGTTTTCAAATATTTTTTTTTTTATAATTAGGTTACCCGAGTTATTCAGGTCACCTATTGCTATCCGTTGTTGCCAGTCGGCGGTCGTCGTGCGTTAACATTTGAAAATTTTCTAGACCGCTTTACCAATGTCAACCAATTATTGCATATAACATCGATGTGTGAAGGGGAACAAAAATTGTGAATTTCATCGTCCCTGCCCCACTGGGCCCGAGGGGTGGGGCTAAAACCACCAAAATTAATGCGATCTTTAAAAATCTTCTCCTTTACTCCTGGACATCAAGCAGTCAAACTGTTGGCATAATTGTAATCAGCGGTGAGCCCTCTTCCAAAATTGTGAAATTCATGGCCCCAGGGTCATTGGTTCTGGTGTAAGGGCAGGGCTATATAAATAATGTAGTAGAAGTGCATTATTTCTTTGAAAATTTTCTTTTTTTCTTCCGATCCTTGGGTAGTAAACAAACTGACCAAGTACATAGTTATGATACACAAGAGTACCTCTTCAAAAATTGTGAAATTCATGGCCCCTGGGTCAGGGGTTATGGTGTAAGGGTGGGATGGCGCTCTATTGATTATATAGTGAAAATACATTAATCCTTTGAAAATCTCCTCTGCTCCTGGGTATTAATTAAATTAAGTGTATAGTTATTATGAGCAATAGTGCTTCTTCCAAAATTGGAAAATCCATGGCCCTTGGGTCAGGAGTTCTGGTGTAGGGGGTGGCTCTATTGATCATGTAGTGAAATTAAATTAATTCCTTGAAAATCTCCCTTGCTCCTGGGAATTACATTTAGTTATAACGAGCAAGAGTGCCTCTTCCAAAATTGTGAATTTCTTTTTGGGTCCCTTGGTCAGGGGTTCTGGTGTTAGGGCTCTTAGACTAATGATTATGTAGTTAAAATGCATGAATTCTTTGAAAATCTTTTCCTTGCACATGGGTAATATTCGAATGAAGAAAGTACTTATTTGTGATGAAGAAAGGTGCCTCTTCCAAAATGATTTATTTCAGGGGAGGGGAGTTACATATACAGTATATTCTGAAAATAAATTAATTCTTTGAAATCTGCTCTTTGGTATTAATCAACCATTAATGATAAGCGAAGGTGCCTTTTTGAAAATTTTGAAATATGTGGCACCAGGGTCAGTGGTTCCTGTGGGTGAGTGCACAACTGGTTATATAGTGGAAATATATTTTCTCTTTGTTCTCTGATCTACCTCTGGGTATTAAGTAACCAAAGTAAAGTGTATAGTTATGATTAGCAATGGTGCCTAGTTCAAATTGTGAATTTCATGGCTCCTGGTTTAAAACACGAACCAAAATTTTTGGAAAGTTGTTGAATGAATCTCAGGTGACCTACAAGGTCAGTGGGCCTCTTCAGTCTTGTTGTTTTTGTTGAAAGATAGCAGTCCTCTTCAATGACTTTAAGAAAATGGAAGAGAAAACTTCCAATACATACTCCTAAAAATAAATGAACAAATCCCAGTTGTTTTTGTTGAAAGATAGCAGTCCTCTTCAATGACTTTAAGAAAATGGAAGAGAAAACTTCCAATACATATTCCTAAAAATAAATGAACAAATCCCATTAAAAACAGCGGTCATAAAGCTTCGATGCTTTCAGTTGTTAAGCTTTTACATCAATTTTTTTTAGCTCTACTGATCGGAGACCAGAAGAGCTTATGCGGTGGTAAGGTGTCTGTCGTCCGTCCGTCTGTCTCTCTGTAAACAATTTTTCAAAATGCTACTACTCTTTCAGTTTTGGTCTAATTTCACTATAAATTGGCACACAAGTAGACTACCATAAAGTACATAAATTAGTGCATCGGTGTTTGATTTCGATGAAGGTTTTGTCATGGTTACTAAAAATAGAAATTTCTGTAAAATTCCTTTAAAATGCTACTCCTCCTACAGTTTTGGTTTGATTTCTATATTACTTGGCACACAAGTAGACTACACTAAGATACATAATGTAATGCATGTTTTTTTATTTTGATTTTAATGAACGCTGTTGTCATGCTTACTGCAAAATTCCTTTAAAACTTTTCCCATTTTCGACTTCTTCTGTGGTGTCACTGTTCCAATTTCAACCAAACTTGGCACGAAGCATCCTTGGGTGAAAGGGATTCAAGTTTCTTCAAATGAAGGGCCACGCCCTTATTCAAGGGACGATAATTCAGAAATAGTGAAATTGTATTATAGAACGAGAGCTCTTTTCCTCCTTTTCTCTCTCTCTCTCTCTCATTGGAAAGAAGACATGATAAAGCATAGTTGGGATATTTTGAAAACATCTCTCAGTACGTGAAGGATAATGTAACAGGGAAAAAAAACAAACTTTGTGTCCATTTTAGCAAAATTGTTTAAATGGAGGTCGTTTTAAGTCCATCGTTTATAAATATTTATTTTCTATTGTTATAGTTTTGTAATGTTTGTATCTTAACTCATGTTATGACAGAAATAAAGATGGGAATGACAAAAAAAAACTTGACTTAGATATTCTTTATGAAAAATCTGAACAAAAATGTTAATATCGTACATGTAATATGCACATTTAAACATTGTGTCCTAACTATCTGCAAAGTTTTGACGAAATTCTGTGCAACGGTGTATGACGAGTTGCGCTGACAAAAAAAAACAAAACAGGACTAACGGACTGACTGACACACTGACTGACTGACGGACGGGTCAAAACATTATACCTCACGCAACTTGTTGCGTGGTGTATAATTACATAAAAGCCTACAGACGGTTTTAAATAAAAAATATCCAAATGATACAACCTAGCTTTTTATTTGACTTTTAAGAGTTTCATTTATACATTAAACAATTTAGATAAAATTCAATTTCGAACGGAACGTAAAGATACAAGTTTATATATCCTAAAAAGCATTTAATTTTATTTATCTTCTTCAAAGAGCATAATTAAAAAATAACTTTGCATATCAAAGTATTGTTTTATTTGTACATATCTGTAGAAACAATAGTATTATATTATACTACATGTAGTACGTCATTTGCAATAGGATTATGCTTGCTGCATTGCGTTTGGTCGGATGTCGGACTTGTAGATCCATCTTTCTCTTGAGATATACTGCTCACTTTAGAAACACGTGACTTTTTGATAATCAAGAACACTCCCCCATTTAATACACCTCCCATATTAGTAAATATCGCTAGGAGTTCAAGGACTTCAAAGGGGGTATTGTCTACCAACTGCCAGACGCCATGAAGCGGCAAGGCCCACCACTGAATGAAATAGGCCGCAACAAATAAGGACATATTCTTGGCTGCCCTAGCTGATCTTTGACTCGAAGATTTGCGATTCCTCAGCGACGCTGAAACAATAAATACACTGTATTCTATAAAGTTGGTAAAATTTTATATTTACATAATTCATGGTTCAAACGGTGTCTTTTTATCACCGAATTTTATGCTTCTACTTTTTTCTTCAGAATATATATAATTATCAGAAAACACTTCACTCACACTTAAGGACATACGCAACGCACTTTCAAAATACGTTGCGTATGTCCTTAAACAGATTTAAAAGACAACGTCAAATTACAATTACATTCACTATAGTATGCTCTATGTTAATAAATAACTTATAATTTTTGCTTATCTGTCCAATTTTCATAGAAAGCTAATTTCTATGCGTATTAATGGACTGCACGCAGGTGTTCATCGTGTAAGCTGGTTTTTAATCATGACTGCGTGCCGAATACCATTTATCTGTAAAACACTGAATCTTGCAAAGAGAAAGGTGTTAAATACAGGAAAAGGAAATCAAGATGACTGCTTTTTATCCTCCCTTACTTACCATGCAAAAAGCTGTATGTTTATCCCAATCCAAATACATTTATACACATTGACTTCATGATACCTAGTAATATTTTTTATGAGAAAAAATAGCTTTCTCCCAAAAACAATTACTGTCATTTTCTTCTTAATTCGTGCATAAATAATTAGGAAAATGGTTTCTAAAGAGGCAAGGAATGCATTTTAATGAATTGCATGTTACAAGTTGAATGAAGAATTTAATAACGAAATGAAAATTCCATTCTAAAAAATATTTGGTATAAAAAAGTCCTTTTGCAAGCGTCATCTTTCCTAATTATCCAAGACTCCAAACACTAAGGAACATTTGAACATTACATCTGTTTATTCAGAGTATTAACAGCAATTCACAGCAACTTCACTTTCATATAATATATGGAAATCACTCAAACCTGTTTAAGGTACTCCGATCCTCAAGTTATGGAATTCAGGCTTTGACTTATTGAAAATGCTCAAAAAAATGTCTCTAAATTCTCAAAGGAATGTGTTTTATCCATGGTAATTCTTAAAATTTTATCTTTAAAGTTTGCAACTCATATATAAGGAAACTTAGTTAATCTCAAATAAATTTCTAAGAAATGCGAATAAAACACTACTTTGTATTTTCAAATTCAAATTTGATCAACAAAGCATGAAGGTTAGCCTACACGTAAACCTCGTAGGAAAATTGAAAAAAAAAAGGCATTCTGAGAGTATTGCATAAGCAATACATGTCTACTACCGGATTCACCTTCTCTCTATCACGAAACCGATCGTTATCCCAGTTATATATATAACATTTTAAATATGTCATAATTCCGTCAAAAATCAAGAAATAAGAAATTCAAATTTGGTCAGTCATCAAAATATACTTACATAAAAATCAGTTTCAATATCTGCAAGAATTTAGAAAAAAAAGTTCGCAAAACCAAGTTTGATGAGAGATTGATAGACAGACAGACGGACTCAGAGGGAACTTTATTGTTGAAAATCGATGCACGGTGACACAAAAGCTGATCACTCACTAACATGGCAGTGTGCATCCTGTATATAGGTTAACAATTGTAGGACATTACCTAAAGCATGAAATTTATATGAAAGAAATATTTTCCAAAGGGAGTTAAACAAAATACTATTACCACATGATCATAAAGCATTTTCTCTTATTGGAAGGCTTCTCTGGGATCTCCGTAATGGTGCAAAGCGGGAGCGATTCACCCTCGCACGGATTTCGGCTCAAATTGTCAGTAAACGATTATTTTATTAATATGTCTTACCTGGACTTCCCAAATTTAGTCATCCCAGACATAAATCGATCCAAAAATATACAGAACAATCCGTATTCTTCATGTATGTCAACATCACAACTTAAATTTATCCGCCATGTTTACTGACTTTGACAGATTTTACTTTGGGACAGCCAATGAGATTAAGGATCTACAGGGAGCGGATTTCTTTGAAAACACCTTATTTTAAGCCTAAATATCGCTGCTTACGAAATAACAACACATGGAATGATTTTATTTATCGATGTTTAGCGTTTCTATTCATCACAATTACTTATAAACATCGACATTTGCTTTTTTGAGTTATTCTAAATTTCAAGCGCAAGTCTCACTACGTCACGCGTAAACTGTCATGGCTGTTGAGTAGAACCGACAGGTAAATACACAGATTTATTTTATATGGTTTTCGCGTTAAACGGGCTATTTTGTCGACAGTGAATAAAAAGTTGTCTTATTGGAAGTAAGTTGAATGTAAAAACAATTTATTCTGCCTGCAGTAGCTCGTATTTAAAAAATATTTTGCACCATTACAGAGATGCTGTGGAATTGTAGCCCTCTCCAGAAAATATCAGATAAAAAAAATCGGAGAGGGCTACATTATTGCAGCTAAGGAAAAAAAATCTGGCGGAGAGAAAAACCAGAAGTCTCTGATGAGACTGTAGCTCTACTGGTCTGTACGTATATGTTAAAGTGAAATTTTGTGTGAAATTGTTTGTATAATTAATGCTAGATTTATATTATCTTAATCTTTTTGATTTGTAGGAATTGCTCTAAGCTACAGATGCAGTGATCTGGCCTGGGGACCATAAAACTTAGACGAGCTCACTTGTGATCTCAGTTTTACAAAAGGAATAAATATGGTGGAAAAGTGAGACTGAGATCAAGAGTGGGCTCATCTAAGTTTTATGGCCCCCAGGCCTGTTCATGTGATAAGGTCATGACCGCTCATTAAGATGTTACTGGGAAATTTCGCTCCTGTGTCAGCATTGCTGACTTTTATCAGCCGAGTCTCAGTGGGATTGAATGTCCAAAGTGCTGACCATGAGAAAATGCAGAATTCATAGTGTTCATAGTTAACAGGTTAATTTAGCAGTGATTGACAGTCTGTAGGTTTGGCAATTCTTAATATTTAGCGTAGAATTTGTGTGCTCAATTACTTATTCAGTCAGGGCCTGTGTTACATGGGAATACAAAATAACTTTGTTGGAAACTTTGGGCGTTTTTATCTAAAAAACAGAAAGTTTCGGTGTAACAGTATCACAAAGGAAAAGTAGCATTTGGATTTGAAATTTTGCATTAGGCAGCAATAAATAGAATTGTATATCTAAGTGTAGTCTACTTGTGTGCCAAGTTATATTGAAATCAGACCAAATATGTAGGAGGAGCCGCGTTTTAAAGGAATTTCACAGAAATTTCTATTTTCAGCAACCATGGCAACACTGTTCACCGAAATCAAAAACCGATGCGCTAAATTATGTAGCTTGGTGTAGTCTACTTCTGTGTCAAGTTATATTGTAATCAGACAAAAATTGTAGGAGGAGTAGCGTTTTAAAGGAATTTCATGTACCATAGGTCGCCATTTTTCTATTGTTTTATTTGTGGGTTATCTACACCATAACCCATGGGCGGAGCCTTCATTACCTATAGGCGGAGCCTTGAATCGCATACAAAACAAAACTTTATTTTCAATCTTTAATAATGTGTACATAATATATTGGCAAAAAACATAAAACGAATTAGGTCCATATCATTTAACCAGAAATGATATCTTGATTTACAATCCGTTTAAAAACTTACAAAGCCGTAGTATTCCGACACATAAACACGTACAGTGATTTTGGGGATATGGCTGGACATCTTTCTGCGAGCTTCCACAACAAATTTACCTCTAGCTACTTTTTAATGAGTGCAGGTTCGGTTAAATTCTCAAGTTCTGGAATTTCACTTCCGATACCTAATATACGCGCAGATGGCTACATGTACATCCAACGTCAGAACGGTCCAACTGCTGTATAACATTCTCGGGTGTAACCGGCTCTTGGGTCAAATGAAAATCCACTTGAGTAAGAGATAAATCCCAAATACCATCGAACACGTTTACTTCGTCCTCTATCAACTGGCCTATCTGTGATTTGTGAATTTTGCGGCAGTTCAAGGATCATGATCCATGCTCATTCATCACTTTCGTCCATTTTCGCCTTATGACTGCGAGTGCGCAAAATGCGCAATGAAATGTAATATACATGAACAATGTATAGCGCGTGCTACTATAACTACTGTTAATCACTTTTTATTCGCGAGAACTTTATTTTCGCGTAATTACGCGAGACAGTGTGCTCGCGAAAATTTAATTCTTGCTCATTATAAAGTATTCCTTAAGATTATATAGAGCAATTACCACAATTCGTGAAAATTTTGTCTCGCTGATCAAGAGCAAATAACTATCTCGCGAAAAGAAGGTGTCTTGTCTCGAAAATTTAGTGATCTACAGTATGTCAGGTGACAAACCATATGAGGAAATGTTTTTGGAACTATACATCATCTGCCTGTCATATTAGGAAATCTGAGAGTGCTATGGTACATGCGACGTACCGTATAATTTTTAATAGGTTTTCTTCAGATACCCTATAGAGAGGTTAAAAGGTCACTCGAAGGCTGCGCCTTATAGCCTCTCTATAGGGTATCTGGAGAAAACCAATAAAAACTTATACGGTAACTACTACATATAAATTTCTATTTTTAGTAACCATGGCAACACCGATGCATTAAATTATGTCTCTTAGTGTAGTCTACTTGTGTGCCAAGTAATATTTGAAATCAAACCAAAACTGTAGGAGGAGTAGCGTTTTAAAGGAATTTCTATTTTTAGTAATCATTGCAACACCGTTCATCAAAATCAAAAACCGATGCACGAAATTATGTATCTTAGTGTAGTCTACTTGTGTGCCAAGTTATATTGAAATCAGAATAAAACTGAAGGAGGAGTAGCGTTTTTTTTACAGACAGACAAGTAAACGGACGGACGATGGGCACCTTACAATCGCATAAGCTCTTCTGGTCTCCGACCAATAGAGCTCCAAATGTTAGGTAATACGTGTGACTGTAATTTGATACCTTTCACCCTCTTTCCTTCAATCTTTATTTGCTTCCACGTCAGAATATACAATACTGTGTTTACAATTAGCACAAGGAGAACCGGAAGTGTAGAAACAAATGTCACCACCCTCTCCCCCACGATTCCACAGCTAAATGAACCAGAAGTCTCTGTCGAGACTGAAGCTCTACTGGTTTGTACTTATAATAAAGAAAGGGAAAAGTAGCAGTAGGGATATAAAACTTTACAATAGCAATAAATAGAATAATGAAAAAAAACGATACACAGAATTATGTATCTTAGTGTAGTCTACTTGTGTGCCAAGTTATATTGAAATCAGACCAAAACTGTAGGAGGAGTAGCATTTTGAATAATTTCCACAAAAATTTCTATTTTTAGTAACAACGACAACACCGTTCATCGAAATCCAACACCGATATACAGCATTATGTATTTTAGTGTAGTCTACTTGTGTGCCAAGTTATATTGAAATCAGATTAAAACTGTAGGAGGAGTAGCATTTTGAAAGAATTTCACAGAAATTTCTATTTTTAGTAACAACAGCAACACCATTCATTGAAATCAAAAACCGATACACAGCATTATGTATCTTAGTGCAGTCTACTTGTGTTCCAAGTTATATTGTAATCAGACCAAAACTGTAGGAGGAGTAGCATTTTGAAAGAATTTCACAGAAATTTCTATTTTTAGTAACAACGGCAACACCGTTCGTGGAAATCAAAAACCGATACACAGAATTATGTATCTTATTGTAGTCTAATTATATTGAAATCAGCAGGAGGAGTAGCATTTTGAAAGAATTTCACAGAAATTTCTATTTTTAGTAACAACGGCAACACCGTTCGTTGAAATCAAAAACCGATATATAGAATTATGTATCTTAGTGTAATCTACTTGTGTGCCAAGTTATATTGAAATCAGACCAAAACTGTAGGAGGAGTAGCATTTTGAAAGAATTTCACAGAAATTTCTATTTTTAGTAACAACGAAAAATAAAAACCGATACACAGAATTATGTATCTTAGTGTAGTCTACTTTTTAAAGGCTTTTTAAAGGCAAGCAAACAATTATATATATTAATTTAAAAAACATTTCTTAATATTTGACTGCTAAATTGAATAGAAAATAATTGTAAATGTGTATTTGGATTCCTCGGTAACAAAATAATAGATATAATTCAAACTGATTTTAATAAAAGACAGGAAATACAAGAGTATACCACATTGCATTTATGAAATGTGGATGCAAACACTCGTGTATAAAGCCGCTTAATCCGAAACTGGCACATATTATCTTACACAATAAAAGTACGTCATTACATAGATAATATATAAAAATAAATTATAAGATTGATTTAATAGTTTATTACAACAATCCTTACATGGAAAACATAGATCAAAAACCTTATTGACAAACAGAAGTTTCTGCAGGAAGTTAAGATCTGTTGTGAAGTCACCTTTGAAAAAAATATATTTATCGGTTATGTCTAATAATGAAGATAATTCCAACCCGAGTATTTTTTTTCCATTAAGCCTAAGTCATAATACATTTTTTAAAAATCAAGAAATTAATTGAATATAATCCATAATAATTTTTATTATATTAATATGCATATTTAAAGAATATATAGGAAAATCATATATTTTTAAAGATTTTATTTTAAAGGAAGTTTATAACTAAGGCTAAAATATTGTTCGTGTACAGGTATATGTACTTTGTTGTGAAAAAAAAATGCTCGGGTTTCAACATTGAATTATTTTTTGTGTGACCAAACAAAAATTATTTTTTTAACTTTTTTGAATTAAAAGAAAAAGACTTTTGGGATATAATTTGACAAAAGTTGAAACAATTTATTGACAATTATTTTTCAAGAAGAAAAACATATATTTTTTTGCGATTAGAATCGGACTACGCGGCTTTAAGCGTACTCTAGCTACAATACACTTGTGAGGGTTATTGACAAACAAGATGACGAAGTAAGAATATCAGCTGTCTCTTTTAGAATCATCATTTCGTAAGTTCTGTGGTCGATACAATGACCTTGTCAGCAAATACAATTTATCATGCTGACTGACTTTATACATACCGAATCTGATATTGTTAGGTCATTACTTACACACTGAGCTATCCCCGTTATTTCCCGATCATGATAAGGAGCACACAACTATTGGGACCGGACAGCAGGGGATGCTCACTCCTCCATGGCACCTGATCCCACATCCGATGTTTTAAAGGTCAGTGTCAGCTCCGCTTCTATTTTGTAATGTTTAACTGGACTTTTGGGTTCGAATACTGTTCGATATCTCCACATATTTCATTTCAAAGATGGGAAGAAAATCAGATCCAGCATCTTAAACTTTTCTATGAAACATTCTCAATATTTATCTTTTCTTCTTTGCACGAGCCTTAGTCCTATCGATCCTTACAGGCACATAGTATCAGGGGGTCTAACCTTCATTTTTCCCAGATATAATTTTTTCTGTAGAAAATACTGAAATACTTGGCTCCCCTATATTTGTCGTAGTATAATCAAATAAGGTTCATGTAGGTATGAACAGGAAAAAAAATAAAAAAACATCCCCCCATGAAAAAGGATGTTCGAGGTTGAGAAATCTTCGATTTTGAATTTTTTCTCTCTGGCTGCAGCCCCCCCCCTTTTTTTCAAAATAGATGCTACGTGCCTGCCTCTTCAAACATTTCTTATATATTTCATAACAAATCAGTCATTTTCTTGTCGATTTTCAATCAGGACTACATATATTTCGTCGGGTGTTGCTAAAACGCGGAAAGAAAAATGGAATGGATCGGAAAACGGAATATTATATCATTTCAGATTAAATCACTTAAAATACAGAAAAAAAATTATCAGAGACGATATATCTTGTACATAGTCAATCCCGCAATATTAAATTTACAAGTTGATTAAGTCATGTTCAGTCTCTTATTTGCGGAAATCGTTGACATAGCAGTGACGTAGAATCGAATTTGAAAGTATGTTGTGTGTGTGAGGGAAAAGGAAGACAATTGTTTGATTCGGAAGGGGGATAGGTTCCAACTCCAACATCTTACAGAACTATTATTTTTACACTTACTTCCTACATTAATAACATAAACAAAAATTTGGGGAGGAGTTCAATGAACATTTCTATAAACAAGAGGCCCACGGGCCTTATAGGTCACCTGAGTATTGTGTAACAACTTTCAAACAATTAAATTTGGTTCATGTTTTAAACCAGAGGCCATGAAATTCACAATTCACAATTTTGAAAGAGCCACCATTGCTTATCATATTTATTAACTTAGCATGCTTACTCTATTTACTTAATACCCAGAGGTAGATCAGAGTAACAAAGAGAAAATGCAATTCCACTTTATACCCAGTTGTGCACCTCACCCCAAAGGAACCACTGACCCAGGGGCAACACATTTCAAAATTTTGCAAATTTTATCATAAAATGGTTGATTAATACCAAATAGCAGAGTTCAAAGCATTAATTTACTTTCAAACTATGTAACCCCCCCCCCCCCGACCCAGGGGGCATAAAAAACCACTTTGCTAGATGCACCTTTCTTTATCATAAATATATATACTTGGATCATTGGCATAAAACCCAGAAGCAAAGGAAAATATTTTCAAAGAATTAATGTATTTTTATTATATAATCAATAGTGCCCCGCCCTAACACCAGAACCCCTGACCCTGGGGCCATAAAATTCACAATTTTATAGGAGGCGCTCTTGCTCATCATAACTATGTGCTTAGTTAGTTTATTTAATACCCAGAAGCAGAGAAGAAGTTTTTCAAAGAATTAATGCATTTTCACTATATAATCTATAGAGCCCCGCCCTAACACCAGAACCCCTGACCCTGTGGCCAAAAAATTCAAAATTTATAGGAGGCACTCTTGCTTATCATAACTATGTACTTAGTTAGTTAATCTATCGGATTTTTAAATGTTATTCCATGTTAAACTGGTGATTCAGAAGCAGAGAAGAAAATGATTTTCTAATACCCAGAAGCAGAGAAGAAGATTTTCAAAGAATCGATGCATTTTCACTATATAATCAATAGAGCCCCGTTCTAACATCAGAACCCCTGACCCCGGGGCCCTAAAATTCACAATTTTATAGGAGGCGCTCTTGCTCATCATAACTATGTGATTAGTTAGTTTATTTAATACCCAGAAGCAGAGAAGAAGATTTTCAAAGAATAAATGCATTTTCACTATATAATCTATAGAGCCCCGCCCTAACACCAGAACCCCTGACCCCGGGGCCATAAAATTCACAATTTTGGAAAAGGCACTCTTGCTCATCATAACTCTGTGCTTAGTTAGTTTATTTAATACTCAGAAGCAGAGAAAATATTTTCAAAGAATTAATGCATTTTCACAATATAATCAATAGAGCCCCGCCCTAGCACTAGAACCCCTGACCCTGGGGCCATGAATTTCACAATTTTGGAAGAGGCACTCTTGCTCATCATAACTATGTGATTAGTTAGTTTATTTAATACCCAGAAGCAGAGAAGAAGATTTTCAAAGAATAAATGCATTTTCACTATATTATCTATAGAGCCCCGCCCTAACACCAGAACCCCTGACCCCGGGGCCATAAAATTCACAAATCTGGAAGAGGCACTCTTTCTCATCACAACTATGTTCTTAGTTAGTTTATTTAATACCCAGGAGCAGAGAAGAAGATTTTCAAAGAAATAATGCATTTTCACAATATAATCAATAGAGCCCCGCCCTAGCACTAGAACCCCTGACCCTGGGGCCATGAATTTCACAATTTTGGTAGAGGACTCAATGCTCATTACATTCATGCCAACAGGGTGCCTGCTTGATGTCCAGGAGTAAAGAAGAAGATTTTTCAAGATTGCAATAATTTTAGTGGTATTGGCTGCACCCCTCAGGCCCCAGGGAGGCGGGGACCATGAAATTCAAAATTTTTGTTTCCCTTTACCTGTAGATGCTGTGTACCAAATTTGGTTAAATTGGTTCAGTGGTTTCAGAGAAGAAGCTGAAAATGTTCAAATGTTAACACACGACGGACGACGACGGACGAAAACGGATAGCAATAAGTCACCTGAATTTCTCAGGTGACCTAAAAAAGTAAATTCTGGAAAAAAGTAGTTGGAGGCAAGCCAAATATTTGATATCTAGATGAACCATGGGAAGAGAAATAAAATGTTAAAAAAAAAATTAAGATTACGATTAAAGCAAACCTCTACGGCAAGAACATCTCGCGATCGAATGTAATACTGGTTGTTAAAATTTTATACAAAATATAGTCGCTTCCTATTTATTAAAATTCTGGTTAGATATAGTTTGAAAACTTTTCTGTGATTATATGTGGCATCTTTACATTAAATGAAGTTACAAGTGTGTTTGTATGTGGTACATATGTAAATGTGGGGGGAGGGTATGAATGACCCCGTAAAACATTTGAGTTTATTTTCCCGCTCATTAGAAAGTTCTAAAAAATTGCAAAAGACAAACATTTTTGTGTCCAAAATATACGTAAGAATTAATTAATCAATTTGTGTGGCTGTGGGCCCCTACCTCAAACTTTCAAGGTTCCTGGATTCTCCACTGCTTGCATAATTTGAATGTCAAAACTAGATTTTTTTTCTGTATAGATCCTTGTATGTACATACTAATAGTTTTTTTTCCTCTGTCTTTTTCGAGACAATATCTTTTTATATGAATGAATTCTCTTTAAAAAAACAAAATTCTTACGAAACGGTCAGTGCCTGGGGCAATAAAACTTACACGATCTCACTTTTGATATCAGTCTTACTTTTTCCAAAGGAATTAATAGTGGAAAAGTGAGACTGAGATCAAAAGTGAGCTCGTTTAAGTTTAATGGCCCCCTGGCCAGATGGATACATAGGATTTGAGTCTGGTTGATATGTATTTTATAGACCATCGCATGTATACAATTCTGAGGGGTGCATGAATCGTAAATATATCATATTTTACGATACATTATTATTATTATAAGATATGAATTTAATCAAGATTATTGCTTTTTATATCTTATTTATATCTAATCTAGGTTATTTGTTTTAACATACATTTTCTGCTCCGTTCCGCGTTTTAGCAACACTTTATTTCGTCGGACCTGTTTTAGAAACAATATCTTAACACAAATTTCATTTTTTTTTTAGTAGAGCGACTTTTGTTCACGATAAAGATTATTGATCTATGTTGATATATTTGTACGGCGCAGCATTAGATCTTTTATACTTAAGGGAAAAATTAATTTAAAGATTATGAAATCAATAAAATAAGCTGAATATCCTGTCACCGACTGTTTTTCATCTTATTCAAATATATCTATCTTGCAGCATTGACCGAACGAAATTAGCTTGAGTATCTAAATAGAACAAGTGGGTTTTGATGCAGGAAATTGATGAAACCAACGCATACAGTAATAGAACAAGTAAAAAAAATTCAGCACAAGAAATACTTGTTAATCTTACTATGTCCCAGTAGGTCCGAGCTGCTTGTAGGAAACCAAGAATACACAAATGATAAATGGTAAGCCTAAAGCAACGGAGATTATCCTCCAGTCTCTGACACCATAATTCAACTTCCATTTCAACTTTATTAACAGAAAGGCATTAGTTGCAATGATAAAAACCAATGAACTCTGGGCAACTGTAAACTCGTATAACACAAATCCATAGAATTCGCATAAGTTTATCGGATGAACATGGCCATGGACTATCAACATATGAATATGGTCCGTGCAATGGACCACGTGAAGTAAAATATCACAAACAGCCATGTAAATTGCGAAACGTTCACACTTGCTCCATCCAACGAAAAAATTCACATTCTTTTTATTTTTTATGGAGGTAGCTATCACTAATCCTGCACATAGGACACTTAGGCCTATAAAGACTAAGGCTGTAGAATGAAGCACAAGAAAACGTCCATCATTTATTCCAAAAATTTTGAATCTGTATCTTTCGTCCATCATGATGTATGTTTGTCGTTCCCTTCTTCGGGCGTCTCTGATGCTGGTGCTATCATATTTCTTACTGGCATGAAGCAAATCGAAATTGTTAATTAATCCCGTGTACTTTATTTCCTACATCCAATTAATATCTCATTGTTGCATAATTCATCTTGGTCTCTTAAAATTGTACACGAGGATGTAAAAGTTATCAATTTCCCTTTTTCTCATGAGTCCACTTGAATTAAGACAAAGACTTCTTATAGTTTTAAGTGTGTTTTAATTGTTCCATTAATCAAAAGTATTCAGATTGATTTTACGTTTTCCTGTTTAATATTATCAAAGGTTAACAGCATAATCCAAACGGAAAACAGTGTCCTTTTAGAAGCACAATCAGCGTATTCTTTCTGTGAGTTTTTTGCCACACAGAAACTGATGCACGATAATTCAAACCTTCTGACACGCAATAATCTGAAACTCTATAATACATTGATATAAAATTTATCGAAATGAAATACAGCTTTTTGGTGTACGATTTTTATAAATTCTCACTATTAATCATTCAAATAAGATAATCAACTAAAGGTAGGTCATTGTGAAATGCTGACATATAATTTGAATTTCAATTATCTATATGTTCAAACCCTCTTTGGTAGAATGTCGATAGCACTAATATCTTGGACATTTACAATGCTTAGTTCCTATACCAATATTTTGAAACAAAAAATCAGAACTCCAATTATCTGCTGTCGTGTAATACGTCAAGAGAATTTTGGCAAACTCATTTTTACCCCAATTTGGTAAAAAGTAAAAGAACCAGAACCCCTTACCCCGGGGCCATGAAATTCACAAAATTGGAAGAGGCATCCTTCATCATCATAACTATGTACATAGTTCATTGGTTTAATACCCGTGAGCAAAGGAGAAGATTTTAAAAGAATTTATGCATTTTCACTATATACTCAATAGAGCCCCCGCCCTAACACCAGTACCCCTCTGACCCTGGTGCCATGACATTCACAATGTGAAAGAGACAGGCTTACTGAACGTAACTATGTACTTAATTAGTTTATTTAAAACTCGGAAGCCATTAAGGATCAGGTGGCCATTTAACATTCAAGTTTTTCTTCAGCAGATTCCTCTTTAGTCTTATTGAGTTGGAAAGAGTGTCTGTCAAGTGAAAGAAAGCTAGGATTTCTTGTGTGCCAATGGCAGGTCGGAGAATCCAGGGCACTAGGCGTGAGAGGTACTCCTGAAGCTTGAAGGTCCTCTTGGCAGATGGTTTCAACACATCAGAATCAGGATGAGAATGTAAAGATTTTTCACAGGGATTGGACGTTATCACTTAATTATGAATGAATATTGTTCTGAGCATTTCAATCTAAATTTTGATGCCTTTATTGTGGATATTCTATGTCGTTTTCATTGACTTGTTTAGATGAAAAACTTTGAACAATGGTTTTCTTTTTTTTGTGGTGCATTTGTAATAAAACGCTTAAAATTATGATTTTTTTCATGAAGTTACAAGAAACACGAACTTTATCACTTTCAAAGAAATATGTAGCAGGTTTCCTTGTCAGCAAAATTAATGGTCTTTGATTAAAAGTAGCTGTATCCGATCTTATGTCAGCATCGTAGAAAGAAAGCCAACTTTGAATTTCCTGAGTTTAGCTACAAATAATTTTATTTCCGTAATGAGATTGATGCCTTTATCTTCACTTTGTAAGTATTTATAATATCCCTTATTACCGGTTCATGAAACAATCACAGAGAGGTGCTGTTGTTGTCCCGTAAAATCGTTTGGACAACAGCGTTTTATCGGTTACTGAAAAGTAATGGGCGCACTAAGCTGAAAATTTCAGTACATGTTTATTTATCATATTTAAGTGCATGTTAATTTTTTTGATAAAATATAGGCAAAAATAAAGCCTTTATTATGCCTGAATGTGCATGAGGTATTGTCCTACGGCGCACGGTCAAAAAAACAAAGGTTTTATTAAAGAATGCACAAGTTTGAATTCAAAATAAAAGTTTTAAATACATAAAATTTGGATTAAAATTATCCTAATTCAATTCCACAATCAATTCTGTAGTTTTTGTAAACATTTTATTCAGGCATTTGCTTAATTTTTGGCAGTTTCTCATGAGAATTCGAATATGGGAAAGTGGTAATGACACAACACACGAAAAATGCCTTCATCACGCGACGTTTTATGAGCTTAAAAATATAGTTATACTTGTAAATGTAATCGCACCGGAGAACAGTTCAGTTTTATTTCGATGTTGTAATGACACCTTTAGAGAATTGAAATGACCATAGAGAGAAAAAAGATTATAAAGATATACACCATATCTTCCTGTATACAAATGAAATAGGAGTTTTCTTAGCGAAGTTTTTTTTTGATCTTATTGATACCTGCAATTTACCCTGGGGAGTACAAAACATACGGACAAACTTTCTGTTCCTTATTAATGTAATAGCAAAAGACGCTGTCACAGTAGACCGCCGATATGAGATTTTCTATTAGTTGAAAGATTATATAGAATAGGCTTGTCCGTAACTTACTAATAAATATAGTTTGTCAGAAGATCGCATGAGGTCCTGATGCCAATTGGTTCTTCGACTGTTTATCGAATATTAAAGAATGTGTATCAATGAAATTCCTAAATTTAAGTCGGACTCATCCAACTTCATTTTCAGCAAAGATAAAACGTGACGCTGTTTACACTTTGACGAAATAATCCATGCGCCGTAAGGTGATACAATATATGGCATAAAATCTCATAATTTGTTTATTTATGCATATGTTCATCTGAAATTTGCTGTGTATATTACTAAAATATGTACTAAATAATAGTGAAAATTTCAGAACGCACTTAATTATGGGATGTTTATTTTTCACACTAGACAACTTGTCCACGATTTTACGGGACAACCCTCGTAAACCATAACCTACCAGTTAACCTTGTTGCACAGATTACCGAAAAGTGTTGACGACCTTTAAATCATTAATTTGTAGGGAAAAAAAGTTTTCCTTTAAGGTAGATACCTCTTAATTCTGAACATAAGTAAATTATTGACACGATTTTAGAGCAACGAAAAATGTTCTCAACTGTAAATCGTCGCGGACGAGCCCCCCCCCCCCCCCCCACCCCCACCACCAAAAAAAAACATTATAGGAAACCTGTACGTTTCCACATGATTTACAGAGAGAAACACATTCATGGTTTATCATATATATAGGATCTCCCATGGTTTGTGGTTGGATAAGATTTTTATCCAACGAGTTATGTGTTTTCTATCCCCACGCCTTGAAGACGGGATAGAAAATGCACAATGAGTTGGATAAATCATATCCAACCACAAACCACGGGAGATTCTTTCTATCATATTTATGCCTCCCCTCCCCCTTCGAAGAAGGGAGGGCATATTGCTTTGATGCTGTCAGTGGGTCCACTTAGTTTCTTCAATTTCTTCACAACCGTGGCAAAAACTGTAATGAAATTTTGTTTACAAATTTATCAAATATATATCTAGATCAAGGTCTGTTTTGGTACGATCGCGCCAGTTTTGATAGAGTTTTGTCCAATGGACTTAGAAAAATTCCAATTATTTGCAGTTTCCGTTCATTTTCTTTGCAGTGTTTGCACTTACTGAAATGAAATTTAGTATACAGAATTTTCAAATGAAAGTCTAATTCAAGTTCTGTTTTGAATACGATTGCGCCTTTTTTGACAGATTTATGCCCCTTGGACTTGGAAAAATCCCAATTATTTGCAGTTTCCGTTCATTTTCTTCGCAGAGGTTGCACATACCGAAAAGAAATTTAGTATAAAGATTTATCACATGACTATCTAGGTCAAGTTCTGTTTTGGGTACGATCGCGCCATTATGCCTTTTTGAACTTTGAAAAATTCCAATTTTAGGGGGGGGGAGGTGGTGTAAATGCATCCGCTAGAGAGATTTCAGACTTCTACTGCAGATAAAGTGATATCTTCATCAATTGCCCAATCAGCTCCTGTAAAATAGAAATTTTTTTGTATTATGTGACAACAAGATGCATCATATCATTATTCAGATTATTACCTTTAAGGTTAGAATGAAAGCAGTGACTTGGCCATCGCCCATTAGTTTTGCCAGCCCTTCAGTTTTTGTGGGATGCGTTTTCGAGTTGTTCACTTGTAGCACAGAAACCTAAATTTAAAAAATATGAAATTTATATAAACTACAATACCTAAAGAATATGTAAATTTTAAAATAAATCTAAGGGGACGACCATTTGATTCTGAGGGGGGGCTGGCAGATTTTGGAAATAAATAATCTGTCCCTGAAAATGTTGAAAATAAATAATCCGTCCTCCTCTGCAAAGAAAATAAATAATCTGACCTTGACTTATGATATTTAAATATTGTGAAAATACCTTTTTATTTCTGTGTAATTTAACCTCAGAATCTTCAATTCAGCATTTTTCTTGGCTCGCTTCGCTCGCCATTTTAGAACCAAATAATATTTAAAATCAGATTACCAGACTGGATACATGTACTTTTAGTCAGTTGATCAACATGACAATGTGCACTCAGTAGATGTGATAAATCACTTTAAATACAAGCAAATTCTTAAACACCACAAAAGATAAATTTTCTTGTCAAAGAATTATACTTCCCGATAAATTAATTACAAAGTATACAGTGGCGGATTTAAGGAAGGCATACATGTGTATGACCCCTCCCCTAAAATTTCAAAGTATGATATGAATTATATTAATATTGCCATACTTTAGTACAATACCAATATTTTTGTGCCTAGTTTTACTCTTAACGAGGCCCAATCTAGTTGGATATTACGAAAACAGAATGATAAAAAAAATTTAATTCTTGGAAGTATACTTGTATGTTTTATGCTAAGAAAAATGAGAATGAAATTTTGTTACCTTGCCTTTATTGTAGTAAAATGGGGGCACTTTCAAAATATGGACCATTTTTCGTGTTTTTATACACAATTACATACTAAATCTCCCCAATAAACAAAGTAATTGACAAATAAAAAATAATAATAAATTATGAAATGTTTTGTTTTTCACATATATCATGCAATTTTAATTCCTCTTTTAAAAAATGAAAAGAAAATTGGAGGTAGCCTTTAT